TGCTCAGCAGGGAGTCTGCTTCTCCCTCTGACCCTCCTCCCTCTCATGCTCTCTGTCTCTCATTCTCTCTCTCGCAAATAAATAAAAAAAAAAATCTTAATTATAACTTAGAGATAAGAAAAATTAAATCTGGTAATTTTGGTAGAATAATGTTTCATTAACATCACATAAAATGTAAATACTAGATAAGTATTAATTATTATTATCAGCAGCATTAAAAGTTTTTCTTTAGGGATTAAGCCATATATGCTTGATGTTGACGATGACAAGTGGTAACGCAGGGCACCAGGTCACTAAAAACAAGGATAATCGTACTCGCTGAAACAAGCATGCCGGAATTAAATGAATATCCACCTGAGAGCCTATAGGTAGTGACAGAATCATATCAAGAAGTTTCAACTGCTTTCTAGGTAAAAGATACTTAAATGATATTCAATAGGTATTTTATATATAGATATGTACATATATACACACAAATGTGTGTGTGTATATATGTGTGTGTATGTATACACACACACACACACACAGGTACATATAGTTACGTTATCTGTAATATACACATGATATATAATAGCAGCCACTACTGAATCAACTGAATCCCTGTGGTGGCTTTCCTTTCTGCTTGGCAAGTTTTGATAAAATATTCTAATTAGTTATCAAGAGAAGCAGAACAGAATGATGGTAAAAGCATGGGCTCTGGGGCCAGACGGCCCAGGTGGAATCCCATTTATTGATCACTTATGTGGCCTCTAGCACGTCATTTGACCTGTGATATCGCCCTTCCTTCACTGATAATATTACATAGGAATAGTCGCTGCCTCATAGGGCTACTGCGAGAGTTAAATTAGTTCATACGCGGAAAGCGCTTACAAGAGCATTTGGTATTTAATCTGCACCAAAGAAATGCCAGCCAGCGTTGGTAGGAGTTACAGTAGTGTCACGACAGTGAGCACAGCAAATCTCTTCGGAACACGCTGATTTCAGAAATCAGAGAGTTTAAAAAGCTTTACCTCTCCTCTGTGTTCCTGGGAGACTGGCTGCTGTGGTTGCTATTCCCAATGAAATTGCGGATTTCTGTGAAGTAAGCATCTTCTTTGTCATCGAGAATCGCGCCTGTACTTTCCAGTTCGGAATGAGGCGACGATGTTGCCGTACCTGAGGGGAGAGAGCCTCTTGAGAAAAAGACGGCCACCGAGAGGGCAACTTATTTTTTTTTTTACCTTTTTTTTAATTGTTATGTTAATCCCCATACATTACATCATTAGTTTTAGATGTAGTGTTCCATGATTCATTGTTTGTGCATAACACCCAGTGAGAGAGGGCAACTTATTTTGAAGCTCATTCCTTCTTCATTTGATCGGTGTTTCCTAAAACAGGCTCTTCTGAATATTAATAATGGTAACTTCAGGAGGCCAGTGTCTTCCCAAATTACCGCATGCCATGCTGACTCAAGTCCCTTGGGGAATATTTTGAACCACTGAAGTCATGAGGTACAGTCTCCCAAAGATGTTTCGCCCACAGCTTCCTCCCATTGCCACTGTGACATGAGAACATTTTCACTCACATAACGAGGATATAGTGTGAGGCAAATTATAAAGAAGTCTTAAATAGATTCTGCCAGAAGAAATTGTATACTCAGTCCTGGTTGCAGTCAATCTGTACTTATTGCTCCTGTGCTAAAGTACGTTGCCAAATAAAGACTGAGAACATACCAAAAATTCTGTATTCTCATTTGGTGCGTGAAGCAGTCAGTAGACTCAACACACCAGCCCAGAGACTGAGGTGGGACAGCATTAAAAGGACAATATGGGATCTGCTGATGATCGGATGATCTTCAGCTTCCTTACCTATAAAATTAGAATCAGAATGCCTTCTCACAGGATGGTTGTGAGGTTTTTATAAATTTACACAACTACAGACACCTTATATGTGGTCAAATGTATACCAACACTTGCTGCACGCTGTTTACCTTTCCCACAAGATATCTACAATCTAACAGTTCATCCTAATAGTCTATAGTTGAACAAAGTAAGAGGGGAAAACATCTCTCAGCTGAATAAAGTTATAATCTGGGTCAACAAATAAGTATTGAACTTGGACATTTTCATTTTTAATTCATTTAAAGTATTTTCCAAAATACTTTTGATTAGGGGCTCCTGGGTGGCTCAGTCAGTTAAGCAGCCAACTCTCGATTTCAGCTCAGGTCATGATCTTGGGGTCCTGGGATGGAGCCCCACATCAGGCTCTTTGCTCAGTGGGGAGTCTGCTTGAGATTCTCTCTCTCCCTCTTCCACTCCCTCTCTCTTTCTCTGGAATAAATAAATAAATCCTTAAAAGAACAAAACAAAAACTAAATATGTTTGATTAGAAAAATTATGGGATTATGCTGTAAGGGTGCACGTGGTTGGAAAGTGTGGCCAAATTAGACTTTGACTGCTTTATACTTCTGTCTCTAAAATCTGGTATCCATAAACCACAATCATTTGACTTTTGGCTTAGAGGGAAATGAACGGTAATATAATTCTATGTAGTAACCCCCCAAGGTCGTAAGCCATGTGCCTGTGTACAGGGGAGGAAGGATTAATAATAAAATAATTTCCTTAAGTAAAATAGCTACTTTGTACAACTTCAACTTTTCCCTGTTTTTAAAATCTGTTTTCCTGAACCCCATGCTTGCTCCTTCCCTTGCCCCCAAGTCATTTTCCTGATTCTCTTGAAACAATTTATGGCTGTACAGTGTGGCTCCAAACACATGGGCCAGTTGGCAAATATTAATTAATGATTTATTATCTAACTTTTAGAAGCCAAAGGCAAGAAAAACTACCATCTCTTCTGCTAACTATGTACTGGCAGATCTGAGTTAAGGGAAGGTTAGTTTTAGTTGTTGTTGTTGTTGTTGTTTTCTTTTGCCACTTTTAACTCAATTCTACATCAGAATTTGTGACCCAAACCACACACCACTATCATTTGCTATGGGTTGCTCTGATCATGTCAACAATCTTCTATCACTAATCTCTGAAAAGTTACCCTGGGGATATTCTCTGAACTGTAGGACCTCTGCAAAAACAGCCATGGTTTCTAAGTTAATATTCAGAGCATGATATTCTGGGGCTGCCACTTTGGAACTCCTGCCTGCCTGGAGGCCCCATTCTGTACCAATATGTGGAAAGATTGTTCCCTGCAATTTAGGAAATCCTGATTCATAAGTCTCGTATGAGACTGGGTCACGGTTCTCTTTGTTTGAGATTACCCATTGAGATGAATCCAGGAGAATAAGAAACAATCCAAATAAGGCCCTGAGTTGTATATTATTCAACAATCACATCATTCTGTAATCTAAAGGGAAACACGCTGCAAAATTTAGGATCTGTTTCTGGTGTCAAAGTGGAAGGAGAGAAGAAAGATCACAATTATCTCTTTTCTTAAAAGTAGAGTTGCCGTACAATATTATTCACGATTATCTTAGCCATCTTCTTCCTCATAACGCAACTGATTACCTACCAGACATGTTCCCATTCTCATGTTTCTTTAGGTGTCTGTCTAAGTTGGTTTGTTGACCAAAACACCTATCACATAAGTGACATTTAAAGGGCTTCTCCTTATTGTGGATGTTACGAACATGCCTCTGCAAGTTGGAAGAGATGCTAAAGGATCTGTCACAGTATTTGCATCTGAAAAATAAACACAGAGAAAATATTTGCAAGCAAATCGAAAAATATTTCTCAAGACTAGTAAGCCAGATATCCAAAATTATCACCCATAAAATATTTTAGAGAAAAGGCAGAGGCAAGAATACTATTCGCACAGCCAAGATTTCAATTCCAACAGACTTTGATTCCATTAAAGATTTTCATGACTTTATGAAAAACCATAGTAAAATATTGACCATTTGATTGGTCCCAAATTTATTAGAGTCATCAGTTTTCATGTTTTTGATAAACTTCACAAAATTAAGGACATTAAGAAATAGTAGCATGGTTTTACCTTCTGCTTAAGACAATACCAATAAATCCTTTGTAAACAAATATGAAACAAATTCATGTATTCTTCAAATAAAGTAAAAAGATCATTCTTAAATTCAAAACTGCAGAGTCTGATTAAACAATTTCTTAGTAAATTCACTTCCTCAATTGATAATCCTAAAGAAACTTCCATTATCTTCTCAAAAAGAGCAGTAAAGATTCCAAACCTTTAAAACTGAGGCAATGTGAATAGTTTATCTCGATATCGAAGATACTGATTTTCATAATCTGTAGTGATTATAAGCCCCCAGAACCTTTAATCTAAAAACCTTTAAACTGTGTTTTTTTAAGAATTTATTTATTTATTTATTTATTTATTTATTTGAGAGAGAGAGAGAGAGAGAGAGTGTGCATGGGGAGGGGCAGAGGGAGAGGGAGAAAGAGAGAAGCAGAACGTGGAGTCTGCTGCAGGGCTCAATCCCAGGACCATGGGATCATGACCAGAGTGGAAACCAAGAATCAGATGCTTAACCAACTGAGCTACCCAGGCATCCCCACCTTTAAACTGTTAAAAAAGAAAGTAAGAGTAGCACTAAATTATCCTTTTGGAATAAAATAAAGGTCTTCATTAATCTCTGCTTTCCCTATTCCCCTCAATTTTCCATTTCTGTCCTTACAGAGTTTGTGGCATTTCTGAACCAGGTCGGTTTTCCAGGAAAATACTTATTATTGGTTGGCTAATTGTTTCTGCCTTCCATGTGATTAAAAAAAAAAAATCATAAGGTATTTTGAAGTTCTCCTTTATTCATAAATAAAAATGTAACCCCTCACTGCCTACTCCTCAGCTCTTATGGATAAAGAAGAAAAGTGGCAATTTATGGGGTATTCTCCTTTGGCATTTTAAAGTAAAGATTACATTATCTGTTTGTGTGGGTTTTTTTGTATGTGTGTTGCTTGGAAAAAAAAAACAAACAAACATGAGCTTTCTCTAGATGACTTTTAAGTGAAAATTTTTAACCTAGCAGCCAGACAATCTTTAACTTATTCTTCCATATGTGAAGGGCCCTTCTCCTCCCACTTCTGAATGTAGACTCAGTGGTTCGAGTGCTCTACATCAGAAATCACCCCATTCCACTCAAAGTGTTTGGGTTTCTACGGCTGTCTCTACGTGATGCCAGAAGTCTAGCTAGTTCAGTGGGGAAAATAAATCTGTTAAACTAGTTACTTTGGCATAGTATCAATAAACCGACTCAAAGACTGATTTAATTTTTCCCCCTTAAAAAACTGCGCTGGCATGATGAGGCTCCTCAACTTTCCTCACTTACAGTATTAATTTAAAAGTGCGTGAAACCCCATATTCATTGTAGTTTTAATATTTTAGCCTCTGCTTTTGAAAAAAATATATATATGAGTCATGACCTTCTCTGTAATAACTCTGTTGACTCCCAAGGCCTACTACAATGAGAATAATGATACAATTAGCACAATTGTGTTGTACCGAGCAGAACAACCTAGAAAACGCTGCTAGAGAAAACTCCCATCAAACATTTTTCACTCAAAACATTTTCTACATACATCATGAATTAGAGAGATTTTGCCTTTGACATGCTTCCAGCTTTCTGCTTATATGCAAAGGGGCTTTTCCAAGTCTAATAGACATCATCTACTCTAATAGTGATAAAATCGGCCAATAAGAACATTCTACATAATAATCATCTATTATTTTGTATCTTTCCCCTGCTAATGTACTGGCCAAAAGTTTTGAGTGCTCCTGAATAAAAAAAAATCATTGCATTCTGCTCCAATAAGTTAGTGGGTAGTTACGAGCCTAAGTTTCAAAAATTCTTTATATTAACAGATACATCATGAACAATATACTCATTAAGAATTTGGATGTAAACACAGGGGTCATGGGAGCCTTTGAGATCATGGTGTGAGATAAAAACTCTGACATGGCAGGTCCAAGTCTGGGTTTTAATTCTGGATCTTTTAATACCAGGCTTTACAGAAGGCAATTAACATCTGTGCATCTGAATTTCTTCACTTGTAAAACAGAGGAGCTAGACAAATAATTGTTTAAGATCTCTAGCTATGCCAAAATTCTGGCCTGTGTTTTTAAAAATACACATACCATTTATGGGGTAGAATAAAACCACTGAATTCAAGTACAGAGCAAAATGAGCATGATATAGTTGCATACCAGATCCTTGGTCATAATAAAATATAAGTGCTGAAATCTTTCTTTCACTGAAGCAAAATTCCTGGGATCTGAAATTTTTCTCAAAAAGGGAAATCGCCTAACAACTTCCATTTTTATACCTCTCTGAGACTTACTATACAAAGTCTATTCTATTACACACAAAGTATCACTTCTGACTAGTAATTTATAAAACATGTAGGAAAGTAAAGAATTTAAGAAAACCCTTTATTATTTTCTGAGTTTAAGTCCCTCCAGTTTTCTCTTAAAATTTCAATTCTCTTCAAATGAGCATTCATTGGTCTGCCCATTTTCTTTTCCTTATATGTAAGAAAGTCTTTGAAACCTGAAAAATAATTGATTTTAATAGAAAAAGTGAGCATGCAGACAAAAATAATTTTACGCATATGCAATGCATAAGAATTTCAAAGCAGAATGAAATTACGATGTGACTTAAGATAAATAACATGTTTTCTTTAAAAAAAATTTATGAACACCTAGCACTATGTGCAAAGCACTGCACATAAAATAATGTAGATTATATTTTAAAACTGAAGAGGATCTTGATAATCTTCATTCTTTAGTAAACAATAATATTAAAGTTAGACACATGTCCCATGTGTCATGTGGCTGATCTTGACACCCAACAGAATAAGCTAAGAGGTAGTTTAGAAATCGTTGCTAGAATTGCCCCTCTTCCTATAACATATTCTATTTTACCTCTTCTCCTCCTAGTTCCTCAACGTCTTCCTCCTCTCCAGGTTTAAGGTTTATTCCTTAAACCTCCTAATGGGACCTGGGGACACTGACTTAGCTATCCTAGGGAAATAAAGTTACACACAGCTTGTCAACTCCTAACAGAGATTTAAGGCTTGAGAAAGGAAGGCTGCAATGTTCTGATTACTGTCAATTAACATAGCACTAATTATTGAGAAGAGAGCACATTAAAATAATTTTTAAAATGGGGGCGCCTGGGTGGCTCAGTCGGTTAAGAATCTGACTCTTGATTTCAGCTCAGGTCACGATCTCAGGGTGGTGAAAATGAGCCCCGTGGCAGGCTCTGCGCTGGGCATGGAACCTGCTTAAGATTTTCTCTGTCTCTCCCTCTGCCCCTCCCCACCCCACTCTCTCTCTCTCTAAAACAATAATAATAGTAATTTTAAAAATAGCTAACATTTCTTAAATGCTTTTTCTATCCTAGATCCTGCTAGACCTTTTAAACTGAGATGTCAGAAGCCTTGATTTAAAAAATTAGAACTCTTATATTTTTTATCCTAGCCATCAGCCAATTCTTCTTTGACTCAAAATTGCAAGGACATACATTCAGACATGCACAAAAGTAGCCTCCTTTAAAATTGTGGCAATACATCCACTCTAACTACCATAAAATTTACCAAGGTATTTAGTAAAAATCATTGTCAAACCTGTAAGGCTGCTCTCCTGTGTGGGTTCTCAAGTGCCGTGTTAAGTTCGCAGACCTTGGAAAAATCTTGCCACAGTATCTGTTATGAAAGATGTTTATAAGAGAAAGTCAGCACAATCGACTTTATTTCACTCAAGCCGCATAGAAGCCAGATGCTGATTCTTGATTTAATTAATCTTGCATGGAACTCACATGTCTTTGGTATTTAAAATTTGCAACAAAGCCATTCTACAGATATAAATAACTCCATGAATAAAGGCTGCATTATGAGATCTGCTTGAATTTGCTCATGCATAAGCAAGCAGTTTATGAAAATAGACTTCAGTTTTGATGACCCCCCATACGCCTCTTTTATTAACTCTGTATCTTTATAGTCGCAAAACTGAACCAGACAAGGGGATAAAAAAATGACAAGAGTCTGTGATTCTGGGTTGATGTAAACAGATTTCAAATGTTTCAACTCATTTTGCATGTTAGCCACGGTGACAACTCTGTACATTGAGCAGTATCAGATCAGACAAGATTCGAAGACCTCATCCATCAAGGTATGTTCCTATAAAAGCTTTCCTGGAAAGAAAGTGACACATTTTCCAAAGAGCAGATAAATTGATATGCCTGAGTCAGATGCCACAAATTTCTGAGGACAATTCAGAAATTATAAGCACAATTTATTGAAAAGAAAAAAAAAAACAAGCTTTACTGTAATACTGATAGGTAACAAGAAACTTATTAACTAGCTTTCTTCACTTATCGACCTTATTCGTCCTTTGTTAGTGGCCTTATTCTTCAATGCCATGACAATTAATAAATGTATGCTCGAAGACAGTAGTATTATACCTTTGGATGAAAATAATTAACTGTGAAAGAAAATTCATAAATATCAAAGTAAAACAAGTATTTGGACTGTTTCCAACCTCATTTATCACAACCAAATGGCCTGTGTTAAAATTCCCATTTAATAATAATTTTTTAAAACCACTATTTTTGTATCTCCCTAAATAAAGAGTACTTTGAAGTGCTGGAGATCTATCATGGTCACGATTAATCATCCAATCAAGAATAATTTCCAAAACAAACAGCAGGGTTTTTGCAATCAGAGGGGAGACTTGGGGAAAGCGGGCTGTCATGGGCCCTGCGGTCACCTGCAGGTGTAGCGTTCTTTCCCTTTTCGCAGGAGGTTCTCCGGCAGGGCATTGGGAGGTGCTCTGAAGTTGAACATGGAGGGAACTGACTGCAGAAGTTCACTGGCCTCCGGTTTCAGGGCACTGAAGCTCTCTAGCTTCTCCGCCATGTTTTCAATAGCTGACATCTGAAAGGCAAGAGCACAAGACCATGAAGGACCAGTCTGACATCCGTTCTTCCGTAATAATCTCTAGAAAACCAAAAAATCATTAAGAAAAGGGAAGCATCAAATCTGCTGAATGCGGTGGACTGGAGAAAAAGGTTGTAGTGTCCCAATATTTGACAGATAACGAGAGGACTCGTTGATTTAGGAAATAACAAAGGTAGAACCATGCTTATAGAATGCTGGGTGAACTTCTTCAAAAGACCTTGGTTAGGCCATTTTGTCATAATTTGATATAGAACTGAGCAATGAAATACATGAGTGATAATAAAGCTTTTTTATTAAATTAAGAAACAACATTCGCATTACGTTATGGACATCAATAGTACACTGGACCTTATAGGGAAAGGTCCTGCATGCCTTGCCTCGGTAATAAAAACCATAGGAAGCATGGCATCCCACGAGAAGAATTCACAGCACAAAACACATCAAGTGTTCCAAAGTTACAGCTTAAGCCAAATGTGTTGTGCAGAAAGAAAAAAATTAATGTGCAAGAGGTGTTTTGCCTAAGACTAGGTTAACTTAGTATCTGGATATACTACAGTTTTAAGTGGGATCATATACAAGGAATTTTGATGAAATATTAATTTGTTCTGAACAAAGACTGAGTTGAAATGACAGCTCATGATATATCATCGTGACTTCACGTAATAATAACTTGGCACGGGCGTTATTAAGGGGAGTAGTTAGCCTAACCACACTCTTAGAGAAGTAATCTTAAAAAACTATCCTGCCTAATTCTTCCCTCAAACAACCTAATTTATTTTGCTTATAATCTTCAAGTTTCTGTCCATCTGCCCATATAACTGACAGTCACAATCGGAGGGTGGCATTTACTTTGAAAGGCAGCTTGATCCTTACTGTCCTCAGTTAGAAGGACTCTCCCCTTTCCTTCAACCCTCCCAAAAGGTTAAGTTTCCTTAGTGTTCATATTTTATTTGGAAGCTGCTTACTACTGAATTTTTAAGTAGAAAAGCAAACTCTCAGGCCATCCTGTTAAATCAACTCACCCATTATTTATTTGGTTCTCAGGCACTATGCCACTGGAGAGCTCAGAAAGCTGTTACAAAGGTGTTTGCACTCTATATGCACTCTGTGTGTTTCTCAAAGAGCTGGGGTGTTAGACCGGGAGAATCCATGCAAAGACAAGAATGGTAACTGCACATTCAAACAACTGTTTAACCCAAGAGGATGATTCTTTCACTGATGGATGGCAGGACCGAGTTGAAGGCCTAATTTATGAGCTCAGGATAGAAAGAAAAGGCAACCCTTCCCACTCAAAAGGAAAAGTGACAAAATCTCTATTCCACGGCCGTGCAGCTGGAGAATACCAGTGACTCCTTACGGCGAAGCAAAATCTTAACAGAATGGCCGGACAATGAACGATGATTCTTTTCTTACAAAGGGAATAGTGTATGCTCGATCCTTCAAATGACTATTCATGTTGTAGTTAGCTCTCTCGTTTCCCTTTATCCCGGAGCCTGCCCTCTCATTTCATGCCCGGACTCCTAATGCTAGCTACAAATTGCAACGTACAGGGTACCACTGCCAATTTGCCAAATGTCTTTCATCAAAGACGGTGCAAAAAAATCTCAGAGGAAAGTCAAGATACATTTACTTGTCAGACGACAAATGTGAACGCATTGGGAGGCGGTAGGGGCTCTAAGCTCAGGGGTTTGATTCATAATCACTCAGCTGCTAAAACATTCTCCACAGATGCAAGTGGACAGCACATTTGTCACTATGAAGGATTTTGACACATACTGATCACAGGGCAGAGATATGGAATGATGATGCTGCTCAGAGAGGTTGGCGGAAACTCTGTCCCTGCAGAATATGGTCATTATCCCCCTCTAGCCGGAGCATTAGCATTTTCATCTTACTTTGGGTTTTATTTATTAAAAATCAATCCGGAAATATTTTATGATACTATTTTATTTGCATTTATTCCTCTTAATTGTTTCTTGCAGAAAATCATTTTGATATTCCACCCTCCACGGAATAAATTGTCTGAGTGAAAAATGACCCCTGGCCTTCAAGCTGATTAGCAGAAACAAGCAAGGATCAGGGTCATGATCGCATATACTTATTGGGAAGAATAGTAAGTGCATGGGTGATGATTATTAATGTTTTATTTATGTACATTTAATATTTGAGTAAAGTTTCATTATCTAGTGGTTTTAAATCATTTGAGTGTCCGCCCGGCTGACATACTCAGATTCCTGTGGCGATATATCTTCTAGAAACACTTTGCCTTTTATATGGAAAATAGCTTACTCATGACTATTCTTCTCGGCTTTCATCTCTAGCACATATAAACTACAAGTCCTTGAAGTTATTTAAGAGCAATGGGCTGTTAAGGACTGTATCTTGCTTTAGTAGGTGCCTAACACCTCCTTTTGAAGAAAGATCGCTATGATTACATTATCTCAGACTATTCTGATTTGGGGAAACTATCAAGAAACAAGAAAATACACTATGGGCTTGATGACTAAACAATGACATTCTTAAAGATAATAGGAAAAAGAATAGGGGTGACCCGAATGCTTCTCTTAAAAGCCACCCCACCTTTGGCTTCCAGTGTCAAAGGAAAAGAGGATTAAATAGGAGTGGGGAAAAGGGAGAGAAGGAAGATGGGAAGTGAGCCGAGGGTAGTTATTAACACCACACACACACACACACACACACACACACACACCCCACTTTCTGTCCAGCTAGCAACCACCGAACATAAAAGCCACCACTGAATTCTTCCTTTCATCTTCATAAGATTTGCTCTCATAGCACTTGACCTCAGTTGAAAAGAATAAGTTTCCCCATTAGGACAGATAGGAGTGACTTAGACATCTGCCAGTTGGGTAGGTTAGCAATTCTATGACCAACATCGGTCTGCCTCTGTCTTGGATTAAGGTGTTGGATTAAGATGAGCTTCATCTGGTGCATGGGTCAAAACCCTAACTTTCTCACTCTGTGGGCTGACTCGTATGATGCTCTTCCTGAAATAACATGCCTTTTACAAGAGAAGTAGCAAGTTTTGACATTCATTTTAAAGTCTGGTTTGGAATTTTAAAAATCAACATGAATTGGGATCAATGGAACAGAATCTAGCTACATATATATTTCAATTATGAAAAAATGAAGAGGGCAATGTGTATTACTATAAAAAAGAAATTTGCTGAGAATGGGGAAAATAAAGGAGGAAATATTAGATCATATATTTTAGAAGTGCATTGCCCTGTGTCCTATTAATGTCATAGGCTAATCTCTGACCAGTAAATGACAGGTTTTTTTTTATATGGAACAGTAATTTTTATTTATATATATAATAGTTGTTGATGGTATCTGCAGCCAGATGGCTGGAAGAGGAAGTCATTGCACCCCCTTTCAGTCCCCAGGAGGCTATTAACTTTATACTGACGCAAACTAATATTTAGACAGAATTCCCTAGATCCTACCAAAAAATGTAGCTATCTCCCTAGTCAAATAAACTTAGTATTTTTAAAAACATTTCAGCAGGCAAGATATCATCAACTGGATCCTAAGCACTTAGCTTAACATTTATTATCTGGCAGCCAATAATTGATGACATAAAGAAGTTTCTCATTAAAACCATTAAAGTGACAATCTGATTATATGAAATGATATGTCCAATGGCACCATGAATTATGTGACCTAATGTTTTACAAATTAGATTACACATGCCTTTATCATAAAACAACTAACTTTTCATAAATAACTTATGATGGGAAAGTTTGTAGATTTGGTGGTTTTCTATATTTATTCACTTGATAATCTTGAGAATTCTCAAAATTGTGGCCATTTGGGGGAGAAGCAAGTATTCATAGTTTATGGCTATCTCATTCCATGTATCACATTCAGCAGTCATGATTATGAAATCCATTAGAATCTGTTTACCACTAAAATGACAAACTTTAATATTTTAGTAGTTCCCACTAATATCTAGGTTTTATAATACAAATATAAATCGTAGCTCTGAAAACCCTATGATTTAGGGAATGGAAGTGTTTCTAAAGCATTGCAACGTCAGTTTCTATACCATTGTATTATCAGGAAAGGGAGTCTAACTTAAAATCTGAACTGGCTTTGTAAATTGGTAGAACCATTGGGCATTTATGTAGTGGACAGCACCTTTTGGATGAAGCAGCCAACCACATAGGTACTGTCAAGTAATACTCCACCTTAGAAAGGATGAGGACCCTGAGGCACGATACTCAGGATAGACCTCTACCAGGGAAGACAGAAGAGGAACACTGGAAATATAGGCCAGGGTAATCAAAGCACAGCCCCATCAGCTGTACAACTTTGTCTAAGAAAGCCTTAGTCTCTCTCTCTCCCTCTCTCTTCTCTTATACTTTTGAAATAAATAAACTTAATCCTTAAACGTCTATCAAAATGAAAAAAATCACAATTCATCACATACTCCAGAGAAGAAATAAAATGGAGGAATTTCTGGTAAAGAAAATCTAATGTCAGATAGAGGAAACAGGTTAAGTGCTAAAGTGTTCTGACTTAAAATAATTTATATTAATTATATGGTGACCAAAAAAACTGAACAAAATTCCAAGATTTTACCCCTATCTTAGAATCAGAATAATTTTGAGTAAAGAAGAGAATGAAGAAGTAGAAGTACATATAATCAGAGGAAATTTTGTAATATATGCTATTTATATGTATTTCCATCGACCCAAAGTTTATTTGAGAGTGAAAACTAAATAAGCAAGACAGAGGATCATAGGGGAAGGGAGGGAAAAATGAAACAAGACGAAACCAGAGAAGGAGACAAACAATAAGAGACTCTTAATCTCAGGAAACAAACTGAGGGTTGCTGGAGTGGTGGGGGGGTGGGATCGGGATGGGGAGGCTGATGATGGACATTGGGGAGGGTATGTGCTATGGTGAGAGCTGTGAATTATGTAAGACTGATGAATCACAGACCTGTACCCCTGAAACAAATAATACATTATATGTTAATAAAAAAATTTAAAAAAAAAACTAAATAAGCAGTCTTCTTTGTATCTTGAACAAAAAATAAAGCTGTCCCCTAGTATCATTACCTGACAACTGACTGAATCTGGAAATAGGAACTGAAAGTTGAGGAAGTGAGACCCAAGGCTGAAAGATTCATTCACTAGTTAGGTACGGATTTTTAAACATTTAAGTCTTATTACTCCAAATAGCCAGAACCAAGTTCTGCCCTGGGATATACGGATGTGAATTCCAATGTCAGCTTGTATCTACATGTAAGTTCAGGTTTTAACCTTTTGAAGGCTTTATCAAAAGCATCTTTAACATGCTGATACAGGCTCCCCCAAATAATGGTTGTTTCCACTTAGTGACCCATTTCGAAGGCTCTTTTAACAACATACTCCCAAGCGCCGAGAAAGAGTTCTACATCAAGGTATAATTACATGGAATGGGTCAAATTTATAAAATAAACTTCTTTCTGTAAACAATTTATAGCACACTAAATGCCCAATTAAAACGGAAAAGTATTTTGCAGCTTGACAAAGCTGGAAAGCGATCTGATCATGAAGCCATGTCATGTAATGGAAAGCCGCTCAGAATTCTTTATGTCTGCACAGCATTTTATAATATAAGTTGTTTTCCTTTTAATGCTACATTATTTTAGTCAAAAATATAAGTAGGAAACTTACCCAAGTTCTCTGATCAGGCAGTTGGAACTGGGAGCAAAATTGAAACAAAAACAAAAAATTACTTCTGTATCAGTATCTTTATTGCAATCTATCCTTTGAGAAATTAACATTTATACGGACTTCGTAATTTTTGCTTATCATGTAACTGTACCTTGAGTAAAGGCTCTGGAAATGAAAATTAAATGTTTTTATAACACTGCTGTATTTCCTCTATTTACTGAAATTAAATTTTAGAATCAAGGTTATAAACCAGAATGTTCTTTTTTCCAAGAAAGCTAAACACTGCCTACTACCAAATCTTAAATAGCAAAGTAGATAAATCCTTCTTTTTTTGTTTTTACTCACTGCAAAACAAGAGTCCTAAACTTTAATAAATAAAACTTTAGCAATTTCCAGCAAATAATCTAGTCTCTTGCATTTGTATAATATTAATAACAAAGAAAATAAGATATTTACTCAAACGTGAATCATTGAGTAACAAAAAGGTAATGTACTTGGAAATGCACTGCTTGACTTTTATTAGCTTGGGATTCAGACCATTAGTGGTCAAAACACATAAGGATATTAATTAAAAGAACTTCAAATGTATAGTCACCAACGTCAACTTATGACAAGAATCACTGGGAGAAACTTCAGTGAGTTGGGAGCTCTTCCAGGAAGCACAAAGGTTGTATCCTTAAAATTATCATTTTGCTTGGTTAAAGGGGATACTTCTTGCTTTTATAAGTTATGGTATCTTTAATAAGGAAGATACATAGTTTTTAAGGATAAAAAATTTATTGCCGAGGAAATCTAACAATAAGAAACACCTTGCTGAAAGCAAAATAGAAGATGAAGGACAAAAGACAAGTAATTTTCACATCAACATATAAAGGATAACTTGGAAAAAGATGAACTTTTTCCCAGTTCTTTGGTATATAGTAACAGGACAGTCAGACACTTTAAAAAGAAAAAAATAAAAATGACTGAATAAAGGACAGAAACAGAAGTAAAACAGAGTCTTTGTTGCAGATGTATACAAAGCCAAACATCTGGAAATAAAATGTATTAACAACCAAAAACATATTTAGAGTATAGGAAAATCAAACCAAGGAATAATAGCCAGTTTTACAACAGCATTAACTACCAAATGATTTCTATGGCGGTTCAAATGAGCCATCAATGTAAATGCAAAGTACCTAAAATGCAAAGTACCCAGTGAAATGGACATTCCAGAGATCACACATTCATATCATTCCCTCCATCTCACCTACTTGTGGCTGTCATTCCTTTTCAAAATTATAATCTAAACTAAGACCCCACAAACAATTTTCAACCATGTATCCAGGAATAACCTCTATAGTACTTATTTCTACCTTATATTAAGCTAACTTATTTATAAAAGAAAAGTAGAAATCTAAATAGTCCTCTAGTGGCCTGACACAGAAAGCATACTTCTGTAAAAATTGAACAAAGTGAGGAATTTAGACCCTGATAATGAAAAAAAAAAAAAAAAGGCAATTATCTTTTACTTTTGTATGTGTTCCTATATCTTCTAGATATTTTTGACAAAACTTTTAAAAATATATATTATTATTCCAAGAGGCAGTGAGATGCCTGATAATCTTTCAATAAAACTCAATAAATATCTAAGTATCTATTGAGGTGTTCACCTTTTATTGATTAGGAAATGTGCCCAGGGGAGGGACATGCTGAGTAGAATACAAAGGCATACAAATATTATAAAATCAGGCTTGCCCAGAGAATACCACTACCAAGAATCCATATACCTTTATCTATGCTTTCCCTGAAGCATTAAGAATATGTGGTCTCCTTTATTATGATGACGATATTATTATTATAACCCTGTGAAATACATAAGGAAAGTATTATTCCCATTTGGAAGACAAAGATACAGAAGCCCCAGTGCTCCAGTGTACTTTAAGTGGAAAATGAAGTAATTAATGATCTTATCCAAGCATTTATTTAGCTACAAAATCATGGCCAGCCCCGGGAGCAGAGGCAAGGGTTTCCAGTTTGGCCTCCTGCTCTGTGCCACTCTTATTGCTGGCCAATGAGGCAGTGCCAAGAACACAGTAAGCATCTTTCCAAGTACTGCTAGATCCGTGTATAGTCCTGCCAAAGAAGCTGGGTTCCGGGGACGGCAGGAGGGTATTTTACTGGCATTCCTTTACATTCAAAATGGAATACTTCTGCATTCACTAAAATTGAAAGCTATCCCTCATTTAGGTCCTCCCACTTGCCAGGCAGTTTGCGCCGTACCGGGTTAGGTACATGAACGCTAACCGGCACAGCTAACCAGGTAAGGCCGGAAGGGGTGTTCCCATCACGCTGATATCTGAGAAGGCTCAGAGAGATGAACTGCTCTGCTCAAAACCTAAGCACTTTTGCTAATAAGCAGGAGAGCCAGTCATAAAGCAGTCATTTCTGGCCCCAAATCCTGGCAGGTTGTCTTTGTTTGTTTGTGTTTGTTTGTTTCTGGGAAAGTGGATCTGGGGGCTAGGATGGAATTGATGGGGTACTAGAAAGAACAGAAGAATTCTGCTGAAATTTTAGGACATTTGAGGCAGGCGCTCTGAAAGAACAGACTCTTGGGTCTGGAGGCTTGATGAAAAGGGGGTGGCCCAAGCTTCTCCCAGGTGACAGCTGTGATTTCACCTGTACCCCAGTGATCGATAGCCATTACACACGAAAACAGCCACGATGGTTAGAAAAATAATTAAATCTTTCTGTAGCAGTTGCTAAACAGCCTTTGCACCAAGAACCTTGAATGGTCCCCCTACCGTCCTGGCTGCATCTCAAAAGACCCTTCAGGCAGCCCACCAGCCAGCAACTACAGCATTAATAGTAGGGGCAGCAAGGACTTCCAAGACCCTGCTCCAGAATGCCAGGAGTCCAGTCCGATTGGTCAGTATTCATGACATACAGGGTGTTAAATATTTCGATTAGCACTCTCGGGTCCTGTTCTAACAGCCGCAATAGGCAGTCCCTTCCACCAAGACATGACCCTCTGGTGTGGGAAGGAAGCATACAGGCCTGTTTGTGGGGCTCTGCGGGGAGGACTGTTCTGCTCCCAGTATCATCTTTTGTGATCCTTTATTCACTTGGGAAATATCAAGAGATAGTAGATTTTCTTATTTGATTTGATTAAAAATAGGTACATACTCTAACACTTGCATGCACATGTGGAGTTATTGGGAGACAAAACTGCCCATCTTGTAGACTAGTGAATTCACTTTGGCTAGCTAGAAATCTGTGAATTTCAGAGAGAATAGGGAGGGGCCACCCAACTCCTTCATCTTACAGATAAGGAACTAAGCTCCAGGTAGACCGAGTCACCTGAGGATCCTGAATCCCAGTCTTTTTCCCCCTCCGTTATACCGTGTCCTCATAGCACTTAATTTGGAAGTGATTAGTTGCTAGATTTTAAAGATAATTAGAATATGAGAACAATTTAATTATTGTAACTAAACGTATATAATTATAATATCCCCATGAGCAGTTAGTAATAATTAGAAAGTAAGTTCTCAAGAAAGATAGACCTTTTTTGCACTGACACAGAATGCATGTTATGTTCAGCTTTATTAGCCCACGAGGCCTAAGAGTGCAATTTAAATCAACCTAAATGTAAACTATAAGTACCTGATAAACACTTACCTATTTTATAACGTGTTTCTTTTCCATAAAGTAATTATGTAAATAATATCATTCCTTAGCCTTTCTATATAAAATGAATGCTAACTGGAACATTTCTAACTCCTTTAATATTAAATCATATATTTTCTCACTTTGAAATAGAATTTTTGAGCAACGAAAGATTTCTCCAGCTAACCAGAAGATGCACTTCCGCTCTCATACTCTGTTGTTCAGGACGTTGGGGAAGTACTTGAAAAACTGAAGAAGAGGTGGCAGAGGGGGAGGGGGCAGAAGGGCAGGGCGGGTCATATCCCCAGATAATTTAATTACCTCATAACATCCTTTAAGACAGCTTGCATAAAATTCTACCAATTTTATTAGAGGAGCATAATTTTTAGTTTGAATATGTTGAAAAGGAATAAATTAGTTCACTGATTTTAAGCATTTTCATAAAAATTTTGCTTACCATCTATAAAGACCAGAGCTTATATCTTTTAAAAAAATTAGAAATAAAAAACAAAATATCAGGTAAAAAAACACATTTAAGATGTTTATATATTTGGTCTTTCAATAGAATTCTCCACATGTTGATTACTATGTAAACCAGTTTTTTTAAAAATAACCAGATATGTAAGAACAGAGGGATGAACCAATTAGATGGCACTGCTCTGCATTCTCCTTGCAATGAGAAACTATATATATTTTGATAAATGGACACAGCTCCATTCAGCAAATTGCTCTGTGTATTGTGGTAAATTCTTGTGCAATTACAGAACTTCGCTGGAATGCCCAGTGGTCTCTAGATAAATTCCTTCACCCTCTATGGTAACAACTTGTCAGGTAGACTCATTTCCTGTTTTTTATCTAAGCACTAAAGGAACTTGAAGGACCTTCATGAGTTTGGGACGAGTCAGAGTATGATCTATCTCTTACTAGCAGTAATTTTTAAACACAAAAGACAACTTCAGTATTTATTCTAACTGAATTTTGCTCACTCCAAAATACACTTTGGCTCAATAAGTAGTTAACAGCAGACAATAATTTAACACCCCCAAAACACGTTGTTTTTACACATATATTAATTTCTTTTTCTTTAAAGAGTCTGAGTTTTAGTTCTGCTAGAATTTCCTGTGTTCTTCTACACCAGCGTCATAGGAAATCCTAATGTTCTCAAGATTTCTTTCATTTCATTGCACCTGCTTTTCAGGATCAACAAGTTAGTTTACAAGCTTGAAGTCTCAAATTCAAAATACTTACTTGTGGGTGAAATAAGAATCCTGGAGAAGGTCTCAAGTATTTCTCTTTTAAAGCTTCAAGTGGGTCAGTTAGTTTTCTTTTCTCTACTCTGAAAGGTTAAAATTAGTTTTTGGAGATGAATCAGTCTCATATATCAATCACTATATAATTACTGACATTTCAAACAGCTAACAATAAAGCAAATGGTAGGTTTCTGGGAAGCACACTGATAAAAATATAAAGACATCTGTTCAGTTCTTGAAGAATACTCAGGGCACTTCTAGGCACTCAAAGAAAGAAGGTCCTATTTATAATGGCAAAATCCGATTGAATGACTAGTAATAACAGTAGTGAGGAAATATAAAAAATGAAGAGTCATGAAACCGGAGGGACTGGTCATACATTTGTACCTTTCCATTTCAAATGGAGACAAGAAGGCTGGATGATTTTGAAATCATGAGGACAGAGTCCATTTTGAAAATTAAAGTCATTTTCTACCAAGAAAGTGTTCCCCTAGATATTCATTAAGTTTCTCCCGTCCTTGCCAATGACAGCAGGAGAGTTTCTAAGCATACTCTGCACGCTGCCACCTACTCTTGGAAGTATAGGTGTCTTCTTTTGGATGGCAAAAGGGGGTGGAGGGAAAAGGAAGAGGAATTTTTGAAGATAGACAGAGACATATAAAACTTATCTACATATCCCTTCTGCCTTAGAAATGTTTGTCATTCTATTTACCATTAGGTGTATAGGAAATGAGATCGTGGATTAAATTAATTTCTTTCACCAACTGTTGGTAATTTTCTTTTAAGAACTGTTGAGTAAGTATGCTTTTAAAATAGAATCAAAATTAATACAAACAGCTACCACTTTTTGAAATTTTGTATATGCTATGTTTTGCATTTATTATTTCACTTTTTGAAATAGGCCCTCTTACACCCATTTTAAGGATTTAAAAAAAAGTCTGAGACATGGGAAAGCTGAGATTTCAACTCAGGTCTTACACTAAAACTGGTGTTTAGGTCTTTCATGACTTTGGTAAAATGACAGGCCTAGGCCCTTAATTCAGAGTGAAATACCAGAGAGGAGACCAAGTTTCAACTAAGCAAGAGGAAGGTTAGGAGGTGAAGGAGAAGAGTGTAATGGATGTGTGGAGGGACTGAAAGCCCATTGCCACACGGAGGGTCTAAGAAAGAAAGTCTGAGGAATACTCTTCACAAAGGGCTGAGACGAATCACTGACTTGGAAACAACCTTCCTGGCAATGTGTGACATACAATCCACACACAAAATACGGAAGTGCTGTTTTCCCTTCTTTTCCCTTCTCTTATTGGGACTGCCACAGGAATCAAGACATAATAATTGAAGAAAAGTGCCCAAGCCTGATTACGACGGCTCAGATATTTTTGTATTGTCCTTTTTAATCCCCTTGCAGTGGGGTTAGCCCTCAACACAGTGGCAGGATTTCTTAGTTAATGTATTATAGATAATAGGAGGCAGAAAAGGAAGGAGTTTTTAGTGAAAAGGGTTTGCAGCTCTAGTTCCTACTAAGTAATAGGAATCAATAAATATCGTTGAATGAAAGAGGAGCACAAAACTGTTCATAAAAGACAATTAGGCAAAAATACGAAAATAGTCTCATCTTAAACAAGTCCAATAAACAATGATCCACATGTTCCATTATTTCTTGACAATGGTCAAGAGTTGAGTGAGAAAGTAAATGTGAAAATGCTTGGTAATATTTAAAATCCATAATTTACTCAATACTTTTAAAGAAAGCTGGTATTTAAAAACTAAGTCATTCTGAATTTCAAGTGAGTGTTACACAATGCTGTCTAAGAGGCTTTTTATTAAGCATATATGTTTCCCCCAAAGAATTTTTGGATGCATCAAAGAAAACTGGATAATGAGCATATGAACAGAGACACGTTTTTCAAAACCAAACATTCACATTATACACAAGACATTTTTGTGACTAATATTTCATTTACTTTGGACTCCTGGGAGATTTATTTAGCAACAGAATATGAACAGTACTTACTAAGGATGCATTGGTAGGTTAACAAAGAGAAAACTCATGCTGTTCTATGTCCCATCTCATTTCAAATATCCTGACCCATTTAAGTCCCCACACATATTTGCATTAATCCTTCAGGAGCCTCATTCTTCTGCCACTTGACAACTTGCTTTAAATACGGCTTTCCCATATTTTCCACTTAAAAAATGTGTTTAAAAATAAATTTATTGTCAAGGGAAAGAACTCAGTGGGCCTCATCCCAAACCCCAAATTCAGAGACATCCCAAAATAAGTCCAAACCTAATGAGTTGACCATCTGAGTAAAAAATGAATTCACTAGATCAAACAACTTTACTCTCTGCCTTATAATAATAACAAAAATAATTTGTTACAAGCCATAGCTTTAGAATGTAAAAACTGCCCTCTGTTCACATGTCCACGTCGAATGGTCTCTTATCCTCCCTTACCTGTAAATCGGGTCCATAAAAAAAGGAGTGGGTCTAGCGTGCTGCAAGGAACTGTCCGATGCGGGTCTCGATTCAATGTTGCTTCCTTTCTTTTCCCCAAACACGTGGTTTTTACGGGGCTCGGTCAGCTTTGTTCCACTGGCTCTACTCCTACTGCCCATACTTAGATCCAGGGGCTGGTCTTGGCTTGTGGCAGGTGTTGCTGGAGGCTTGGAGGGTCCTGGAGTCAAGGGCTTCTCGTCCTTTCGCTTAGTGGTGAGATCAAAGGGAGACTCAGAGCTTCCCTTCTGCAGTTTCTTGACTTCACTTGGTGATTGGGGTTCCATTTTCAAAGGTAACGATCTCAAGTCTCTATCAGGAAATGGGTACATTGATTGAGAGAATGCTGGAAAAAACGGGAGGGGAAACATGGAAGGGTAAGGTAAAGCTCCAACTTTTTTGTCTTGCAGCCCCACCAGTCCTGTTGAACCAAAGTATTTTTCAGCAATAGAAGCAATAGCCTTTATAGAATCATTCACAGCTCCTGACACCGCAGTGTGCTCCTCTAAAGACGGTGGGAAAGTGGAATGATTGCTGTATTCTTTCCTATTATGTCCTGAAGCCAGATTCTGAAGAGGGCTTACTTTGTCTTTGAACATTTTACCATTTTCTTTAAATTTCTCTTTATCACTTTCAAGGTCACTTTCCAGATCAGAGCCCGAGGTTGTTTCCAGGTCACTGCCACTTGGTGTACTGACATCATCAAGGTCACTACTCTCTGACTGGTCACTCATTTTCTCAAGGGGCCTCTCTTCAGAGGACCCCTCGGGCTGGAGCTCCACTGGCTTATTGTCCCCTACAGGTGGGTGTTTAGATAGTGCCTTCAAAATATCCTGTGTAGCTGGCAGTATCTGAGGATGTGTCATGAGGGGACTTTGACTTTTGTTTGTCTGTTCAGTACTTGATAGTCCTTTAACAGGAGAACTAGCAGGTATCAAAGGAGGCCTGTGGTACAAGCCGGAAGGAAACAGACCAGGGAAGCTAAAAGAAAATCCAGGAGCTGTTGGAAAGGTAAGACCAGCGGGATGCCTATTGGCACCAAAATAGTCAGCAAGGCCCGGGTTGGCATGACTCATATTAACCATGGACGTTTTATCCATAGCGGGGGTTCCAGGAAGTGAAATGCCTTGGCCAAAAAATCCACCTGCCGCAAAATGGTTCTTGCCCTCACAAAACCTCCTGTGTTTATTTAAGGAAGACGTAGTGCTGAACATTTGTCCACAGTCTTTGCACTTGATTTGGGTTCTGCAATCAGCATGCATGCGCTTATGACGACAAAGGTTTGAAAACTGAGTATAGGATTTATGGCAGACCTCACCTGTGTGCAAACAACAAAAAAGAATCTCAGGCTTTATGGCAATTGCTGCTGAATTTAGCAAGTATCACAATTGGTTTACCCAAAATTTCAATTAGGAAGCCAGGAAAAGTTGTTGGAGGTACCAATCTGGGTGCTCCAAACACAGAAATCCCCATTTCACTAGATTCCAAAGCAAGGCATCCAACCTGACAAATGTCTTGAGGCAGCACAAATATTTCATATATAAGTATATATAAAGATTTCTGTCATCCCCATTGCATATTTTGCATCGTAATTTGTGTATTTAAGTATTTATAGAAAAGTCCGGTTCCAGCATGCATTGATTTCCCACCCAACGCCTACCCTAACAGAATCTTAAAAATTAAAGTCTTAAGCACAATACATAACAGGAACCCCTTTAAACTTTTAGACCACTCCAAGAATTCTAAGTCGGAGGCACCGACACAAAATAAAACAGCCTTTCCCTCGACTGGCAACTTTACCTTTATTCCCTCTCCCCTTGGGGAAAAAGCCTGTGACTGCTCTACCATTATTTAATTTGTGTTATATCATACGCTCTCATCATTCACACATCAAAGCCACACAACAATGCACATTGTGTATTCGGAGACATTTTTAACAATCATTTTCATGATTCGAGAAAGACTGACATAATTTACAATGGCTCTATTTTAAGCCTGCAAAGGAAACTAAATTGAATGTGGCCCATCCTGCATTGCTGGTTCCCATGAACTACGATCACGTCCTCTGACTTCCCCTCACACCAGCGGTTGTGCTAACCTTCCTGCATTTCTGAAACCCCCGTCCTTGGGAAATATGTCCACTCGCTGTCATATCTTCGCCGGTTATCTCAGGGCTTGACTTCTATGGGGTTTAGCCAACTACGGTAAGCAGGGGAGGGTGCTCTGAATGCTCTAATCCAGAAAGAACACAGCAGGGTGCGGCCAGGAAAGAACCCTCTTTGTGGAGCATTTGCCAAAAAAGTAGAACATCTCTCTTCTCACATATTACGTGAGAATAGAACTAAGTGTATTTTGAGACCAAGCTTCGTAACCTTTAAGAACTCCTTTGCTAAGTACGAATCCCCCTCACTTCGCAGTTTGGCAGGATTATCGTGCCCATTTCCTAAGCATCACATTGTTTAATCTTACTTTAGTAGAGATGAATCCACTTTATGTGTGAGTTTACTGTAAACGATTCTGTGCACGTTTAATACATGCAGAAACATGATACACCTTGTCGGTAGTTACTGAAACAAATTTATATAAGAAATTAAATTAAAGACAAAATGCAACATTTATTGCTTTCATGTGATGATTGCCTTTAAGCGCAGAATGGTGGAGCTCCTAAATTAAAGCAATAATAATTGAAAGAAATAAAAAACTCGAAGGAGATTTTATAGATGTTCAGTCATGCAAAACTCACCCAAAAGTTGGATTATCCCACACACCACCAAACAGGAAAGACCAAGTGATTCCATAATACTTCTTTTACTACTAATGATTAAAATGCACTGCGGCATATATCAGGGTGCTTAGTAATAGTAAAGGAGCTTTCAACTGTGGGATGATTCATAACATTATAGAGGCCGTAACATGCATTTTAATGGGAAGAGAAGATGTGAGTGATTTCTTTTCAAATCATCCTACTGGAATATACTGACCAGAGGCTGCTTTAAAAGTATGTACTCTTTAACCATATACAATAAATATACGTGCTATTTAAATTCTTTGATACACTAATTAAAACCATACAATGTAGAGGGTGGAAACATGAGGCTTTCGCTGGTTACACTAATTCAGCTATGAGCAGTAACAAGAAGTAGTAAATAAAATGTCGTTGGAATTATAAAAGTGCACTCATCGAGAAAGTAACACCTCTCCTCTGGGCATTAAAAGGCGTTGAGAAAATGTCTTGATGGGTCTTCAGCCACGGTATAAACTTTTGAAAGGTTTGCAATTTTTTGGCAAAGAAATATCGCTCTCTAGACTTCTCTCTTGGAGCCGGATGGATTTAAGAAATCAAGACCTTCTCTATCTCGGAGTAACAGAAGTTGCATTTGACTTCCCTGGTTGCACCCTCTATTACCCAGATGAGCAAGGGCTGTGTCAGGTCTTAGGAACGTAGAATCTGGGATGTTTCCCTAGGCAGGAGCTTTGTTTTTCTCACTTGAAGGTCTGGCCTGGCCCACCACAAACCACCAGGCCTCCAGGTAAATGGCTCAATTGATGATGAAGTCTATACTCTACTGTAATTTTCTTAGTAATAAGGAATTAGCCAGCAGTTAACATTGCATTTTTCTACTTATTAAACAAATTAAGAGGTATTTTGAATATGTTCAGCCTATTAGAGCATGTGGTTTCTATTTGGGAAGGCTGGAGGTTTCTGTAAAGGCAGTGAGTAATTACCTTAGCACTGGTGACTTTGGGCTCAAGCTTGGCGGTACACTGTAATAAGAGACAGTTGCCATAAACACACCAGTGGGGGTAAATCATGGTGTGTGGCCTTCTGGTGAGAAACAGATATCAACTCTAGGTGAACCTCCTCCACTCCCAATCTCCGCACCAACTCTCCTCTTTTGTTCTGAAATTACATGGCTATTATTCATAATTACCCCATGGTTCTCTGTCAGATTTTATATTTGAAGAATGCCATCTGCTATTTAAATTTACCAATAATTACTGAAAATGCATTCATGGCAAATAGTTGTGCAAGCTGATTGGAAAGGGACACCCTATAGTGCTTTAAAATGAAACACTTGACTTCAACACAATTAAAATTCCAGATCCCAGAACCTTATATGATAGGAATCTGTATTTTCTGAATTTTGGTTTAAATAATAGAGAAAGCATTAAATGGGTGATCATAATTCGTTTGGTCTATTTTTTTCCCACCAAAACACAATAAATGTTTAAAGTCTGTTTCTGAGAAATCAGAAATAAATGAGTTATTTATGCCCGTAATACTTGCAAGTACATTTTTAAGGGCGTTACGACCTAGAGTCAGAAATGCCTTTATGAGACAAGAAGTCTAAAATTTCTATTGTATACTTTATTTCCCGTGACTTTCAACAGAGCTTCCCCAAGGGAGGCTAGAGCACCCTTTTGTTTATCAGCTAGTCCTCTTCACTCCACCCAGGGAACAGAAGAACATATGAGCAAAACAAGACTTTAGCGTAAGCTGGAAAGGGGGAAAACAAAAAAAAAAACCAACAACAACAAAAAAAACTCCCTTGGTGCTTGGAAGCACAAAAGAGGGCTGTGTCGAGGTAATAAAACGAGGAGGGTTAGTCTCTGGCATCTCCATGTTGGCACTAAAAAATATTTTTTGCCCATCAGGTCCTGTAGTAGTGTCTCATACACCTACTACAGACTATTGCATATTTGTCAGAAAAAAAAATGTGTTATAAGGGTTCCCGAGTCAGAGGTTTTTGCCAACTATGGAGTGTGCTTCAATCAGTTCTATGCTCGTCTGGATCCAAAATCAGTCTTGACGTTTGTAGCACAACTCAGTGAGTCACTGTGTTTGTATGCCCTGCTGAGCAATGGATCAAAAGAAGTCCAGAGTCATTGCCCAGAGGGACCGAAAACAACTGATTTTCCTCATGAAACATCTCAGCATAATACAGGGAACAGGAGTGGGTGGACAGAAGAAGAAGCAAACGAGCCCTGAGTTTTACTTTATGCAGAGTGTGTTACTCAAGTACAGGGACGTTCTAAGTAGGTGGTCAGATTGGCTGTCCCCTGAACACACACTGCCTGTAAATTTGCTTTAGTGCGGTGGGTTATAGAAGCATCGTGTCCGGCATCAAAGTGAGAATGTTCTGCTTTCCAAGTAACTGAGAACTACCGGCCGGCAGCCTGTGATTGGTAACAACGTGTAGATTAAGGGGAATTTTATTCCCCCCCTCTTTCCCCTCACACATACTCATACACACACACACACAGAGTCATAAGCCCCCTTGCCAAGTGGGGTACTTCCAGCCCTTTCTGATCCAGAACGGGTTTTTATCACTTCATCTCGTTTAGTGGCATCTGCCATTTTCAGCGTGAGACAAATCTGGTTGTCTCTATTAAATCCTACAACCTGGGGAGGCTTCCCTTCCATTACTTAATGACTTCTTTCTCCTCTCGTTATTGATTTCATCTAAAAGAAAACACCCCAGGGATTAGAGACAAAATACCCTGGATCTGGGTGTCAAAGATTTTCTTGTAACAGAAAATAGCCCTACTGGACTGGACCATAAATAGCTCATGCGGAGACACTTCCATGGCCACGCGGCCACTCTCCTGATCACAGTGCCTTTTGGACGAGAGAAGGATGCAGGAAGGAGGGCTGGAGTGTTAAAAACTTACAGATAAAGGGCTTCACACTGCTGTGGATGTGCTTGTGTTGTTTGAGGCCTGACGAAGTGGCAAACGTTTTGCCACACTCCGGGCACGCGTGGGCCCGGGCACCAACATGCTGAGAGCGGATGTGCCGCTGAAGGTTGCTAGGGTCCGTGAAAACCTGCTAGGAAATGAGTACTGATTAATCAAGAAACTTAATCCAAGGACACAATAAAGAAGACCAGGAATGACTCAAGAAGGAATTTTGTTTATTTGTTTTGCTTTTGTTTATTTGTTTTCCCCAAAGACCAAAAGAAAGTCATATTTCCAAAGCGTGAGCTCCTCTAGGATAGGGACTGTAAACTATTCAGCTCTGTATCCTTAGCACGAAATGTCCATCGGTATCAGTTGAAGAAGATAATTAATGGCATGATTAGACCATATTCAAGATCATTTTGATCCCATTTAGAGTGATTAGAGTTGAATAATAAAATGCCAACCAAGACGTGATTAAAACTGGTGTGCTATTTCCGTCCTCTAAACCAAGACACACTGTGTGCAAAATTGGGGGGAGTTTTACTAAAGTATCTCAAATCTACTCAAAGAGTTCCCCCAGGAGTTAAAGCTAACACTGTGTTTCAGCAAGTTACCATGAAGCTAAAACCATTCCTTTAAACACTGTACTAAAAAAAAAAAAAAAAGAAAAGAAAAGTCACCCACACTTCCGGGAGCAAAACATCTCTAAAGATAATTTCTAGTGCCACAATTTCCACTGGCATGAAGAAAGATATTCAAATGATATGAGAAGTTTTTGGAAATAGAAATCAACTTCAATGACATCAGGACATCTTTTAGTTCATTGAGAACCACGAAAATTAAATGATGTGAGTTACTGTTTTCATAATTCAGAGTCATGGTCAAGGTGGAGTGCTTTCCTTGCACCCTTATGCTGTTCAGCAGTGGCCACTAAGGCACGCTTTTAATTAGAACCAAGTGATGATTTATGGTGGGGACTTGGGTGGAAAAATCTGCAAATTTAGGAGTCTCCTATTCTTTCTGAATAGGCATCCAGAAACTTTATGTGACTTCCTCACAAACTGCTATTAAAATAAATTAGTAAATGTGCATTGGATAAAATTTTCATTCTCCATAAGGCTATAAAACAACCCCACACTGGCAAGCCAGTAGCGGAACCAGGAATTTACCAAGGATGTCTGACACCTAGTTCTGGAACTCACCATTAAGCCTCACTTCCTCCCTTACAAAAATAAAAGGATACCCACTAAGTGTTTTTATACACTGTACTAATGCCTTTTAGCATACAACACTCAGTCTACTTTTCTCAAGATATTTATAGTTTCCCCTCTCAAGGCTTGTTTTTATATATCATAGCAAGTGATGGATTAAGAGAGAGCAGGATGACAGAGAGAGGCCAAGTAGTCTACAAATTCACTGTACCTTGGCACAGTTTTCACATTCATAGTGCTTTCCACTGTCATGTGACATCTGGTGGCGAATTAAATTGGACTTCCAGTTAAATGCCTTGGGACACTGATCGCACTTGTATTCCCTCTCTTCGGTATGTGACAACATGTGTTTCTCCAGGCTGTTAAGAGAACAATTGATTTAATAAGACATGGTGACAAAGAACACATTCATAAACAGAATGTCATTTTATTAGTAATCCAACCGGCAATTAAAGAAAAAAGAAGGAAAAGTGGTTGAGGTGAGGAAGACGAAGGAGAAGAAACAGGCCTGCAATGGACAAAAGAAAATGTATTTCTCCTAGACTGTGTCTCTCACTAACATGAGAGAAGTACCCTTGTTGTTAGAAAATAAATCGGATACGACTATCAGGGATTAGCTGCCAATTCAAGGGCACGGTAAGTGACTTGTCATTTGTCCAGGTCTCGATTCACTACACCATTCTAAGGGCAACACATACTGCTCATACCCACTTAATTCAAACACAAACACTCAAACAGAAGATCCTCAAAAATGCTTAAGAACATGCAGGCAGGTATGCTATCTAAGGCCTATAACCTCTAGATTCAAAAAGGTACTCTTGTTTCTACCCATACCACCATATGGGGAAGTGAGCCGTACACTAACTATTCAACAAGCAACTTCCCAATATAACCCTAGGACGGATGGATGGATGGTCAAGCAGATGAACTGACGAATGGATATGGATATACACAGATATGGAAGTGTACATATATATAGAGCCTATGAATTAGGGAGGAAAGAAAAGTGTATAATATTATAAGCGGATGCACTATTAAAGCCCCTCAAAAGAAAAGCATAGTTAGAAGTTTCTCACAAGCACAATTTCTCTGGTTTAAAGCTTAGAATATTTTTGCTTCTCAAATATTTCCCTCTCTTCTAAAACTGGTATATGAAATCTGCATGAATGCAATGAAAAGCAAATATTATAGATAATGGATTGCTGTGATACTCAGATGTCTGTAACATGTTTGTTAATTAAATACACACATATAACACACTGGGATGCTACCCCCAAATAAAATAACCAGAGCTCCTTGGAGAAACAGCCTGTTTCAAAGTTGAAGCCCAAGATACACAAGATGGGCCCTGAACATCTTGTTACGGCAAAATGCAAGAAAATTATATATCAGGTCAAAAGAATTAAGGTAGCAACCTGAAAAGACACCCACTGACCAGAGATGAGGAAATTTAAGCATCAACAAAAATAATAATCTCATCCTTTAACAAACAATATTCAAAATCACACAAGCAAAGCCTCACTGGTCACACTTGGAAGATGCTGGGAAGCCAAATCATTATTCTGAAAACTAGTAAATAAAGAGGGAAAACTCACTCACATGTCTTGCCTTTCCTATATGAACTGTACTTCAGGGTGAGCAAATAAACAATGAGGGGAAGTTTCTTTGTATAGAATTAGTATAGATAATAATGAAAGAATGATAGAAGTAGAAAACATTCATTTTACAGCACATAAACAATTAATAAATCTAGGCAATCCATAAATAAATCTTGTGCCTCCCGAAGGAAATAAACCATAACATCAGTGAGGTATTCTTCCTAAAACAATGAACCTAAATCTGATCAAGGCTTGGGATATTTTACAGGAAGTAGAGAAGATGGAGAAAGATGTTAACACTAAGGGGACATGATCAGTAGAATCCAGACTGGAGGAAATGCTACAGGAAAAAGCAGTTTCTTCTATAAATAAATTTTAATGAGAGGGGAGGGAGGGGGAAGAGAGAGAAGAAAGAAAGAAAGAAAGAAAGAAAGAAAGAAAGAAAGAAAGAAAGAAAGAGAAAGAGAGAGAGAGAGAAAGAAAGAAAGAAAGAAAAAGAAGAAGAAAGAGAAAAAGAAAGAAAGAAAGATAGGAAGGAAGGAAGGAAGAAAGAAAGAAAGAAACTGACTTTGGAGGAACTTATAAATTAAAAGAGATATAAGAGATATGCCTACTAATTGCACTGGTGGACCTTAGTTTGATCTTAATTCAAACAAAAAACCCTAAAAATAATGAGATAACTGGGGGAATCTGAACACTGACTTTATATTTGGTAATCCTAAAGAATCATTATTTTTAAAGTGTGGTATTGAAATGTGTGTTTTGAGGAGTCCTTTTTTTCTACAGATACATACTGAGCTATTTATGAATAAAATGACATAATGTCCAGGATTTGTTTCAATAATCCGAACGAGTATAGCTGAGACAAGACTGGCCTTGCATGATAATTATTGAAACTGAGTCTATGGGGGTTTATTACACCATCCTCTCTAGTTTTGTATATTTTGAAACATTCCATAGTAAAAAGATACTAAAAAAAGACTACCAATCATGTAAGCACTCTTTCTTTCCCAAGTTTTATTTTTCTGTGAGATGAATATTCTAAATTCGAGTATCAAGTAAGATGCCTGTGTGCCTAGAAAAATCCAGTAGCGGTGTAGACTGTGTGCATGGCAGTATGTGTAAAAAAGTGCCCTTTCTCATATCTTGATAAATCAGAAATATCTTTCCCATATTTTTTCTCTTCCCCAGCTTCCTCCCTACAACCCTACTCATATTGGCACGTGAACTTACTTTTCCCGCCCCCATGAGTCAGTCGACTTTGTAATGCTATTCTATTTGAGCACAAATGGTGATATCTCTGTGAACAAAAGGTACCAGGAGATTACAGGTGTGTGGAGTCACCAGAACAGCCCTATCTTTATCTACAATATGTAATTCCCTGTTTGTTACACAAGTTGAAATGTTATTAAGAGAGTTAAGAGAGAGATACCATCAACCGCAGTTAACATTGAACTGAGTCAGGGACATCTTCCAATCATTGCACAGATTAGTATTCTCTGTCATCCTCAGTCACCCGGGGAAGGCATGCCATTTTATGACATATATAATATATTCCAATGTGTATGTCAACTCGTAAACTCTGAAATCTAGTGGTAGAGTTGGCCTATACATGGAGTCTTATTCCCGTGTCCTAACTCCAAAGAGATGATAGAGTTTCAAGAGTACAGTACATGGTATACAGGGGGAAAAATAAATAGCAGTGCAAAGGGAACTTTCCTTTCTTTCTTCTACTCGAGCATAAAATCCATATTGTTCCATGGAATTATCAGCTATCAGTTTATCAGTAATAGAAAGAATAAAAAGGCAAGTGGTTCTTACAGAAGCAAATGTGCATTTCTTTCACAAACAAAGAAGCAATCCAATCAGTCATTAGTGAAACTTCTCCACTTTTCATGGAACTTTAATTTATGGAGCTTTGCCTAGCCTTCTGGGTTCTTTTCAACTTCTGTATATCAATCTTTGTTCCTCGCCCCTTTTTTTTTTTTTTTGTGGGGTAGCGGGGGAAGGGGTTATTTATTTTTTTTCTCAACACTTTACAGAAAGATACAGAACAGAATAATTACCATGTCAAAAAAGGATTTCTCATTTGTATAAAGCAACAATATAGGATTCGACAAAGTGGAAAATATTCAGGGAATGTAGGTTCTGCCCATGGCTAAATTATATAACCAAAAATACCACTTAGATGGTCGACATCAGGTTGCATAGTGACATGCTAGATCCATCTGGCTGAGCTACCGAAAAGTAAGTTTTGAGAGTTCATCCAATACCAGATAATTAGGTTTCCTTATTGTTTTCCACTGAATGTTTGACTGAAGGAACCAAACTGACAGTTGGTTTTGGCATTAAGTAGAGTTGACTCGGGCTCAATCCTACAGCTAGTCAGAGTTAAGAACCTCTCTCCACCTAAGTGTCGCCATACACTTCTAGTGGGAAGTAGGAATTACATTTTAGTGTTTAGTCCACGAATTTTTGTTTTATAGTGTTGTCCATTATCTCTGATAACAAAATTGAAGGAAATATACTTAATCTCTGGCATCAGAGATACTGCTTTGCATATAAATACTTTCCTTACCCACTGGTATTTATTACTTTCATTTCATTTTTTAATTTGGTCATAGTTATGTTTATGAGACATGCTATGACTTCATTACAAATCTATGTTTTACCAAATATCCGTAACAGACTTATTCTCTACATGGATTTATATTAAATAGTAAAGATGAGTACTGGGAAAGCCCTTTTAGTCCCCTTTACTCTCTAAAAGCAGGCCTGAATTTTCAAACCTAGAAATTCATTCTTTTGACTCAGTCTCCTCAAGGACTGGGTTATACTTGATGCTTTTTTAGTTACTTATGCACTAAAATCAATGACTACTGTGTGAAATCCTTTCCTGTAAGAAGCCTAGCCAGAGAAGAGGAGGCAGGGCAATCAACAGAGGGAAAGAGGAGAGAAAAGAAGGGGAGGCACTAAGAAAGGAGACAAAATGGTCAAGGGCAATAGGTAGAGAGTCCAAGATAAACCATGAGTAATTCATACTCTTGAGTAAGACCAGTTGATATACTACCATCCCCACTTAAATACAACATTATGCCCATTTGGAATTCTGATTCTAGGTTCCAAGAATCGTTTCTGGATTTAAAAGCAAAGAAATGAAAGCAATTATTAAAACTGCTTGTGCGCCGAGGCAAAAACCACTAGGTAGAAACAAACAGAAAACCTATTAGCTGGTTATATACATCCCTGATCTGAAAGACTGTTCTGCAGCATAATTATCAATACAGTTTTCCAAGGCTAGGTTCCAGAGTTGCTGTTTTAATAGAAATAAAAAAATGTTCTTGAATGAAGTTCAAAAGCCTACAAAAGTTAATATACTGCTGATACATGATTTTTACTTTGTTAAAAATAAGTATTAAAGAATAATTTCATTTAGATCAAGTTTATTTTTTCCCTTTTGGGAAACAGAACATTTTCTTCATTGGACATGATTTTCTTACTCTTTTATATATGTGCAGTTTAGATAAATCATTGAAATTGAAATCCACAGGTGACACGAATCTATCAAAAGATCATTGATCTTTCATTAAGTGTATACCAGAACCAATCTTTTTTTTTTTTTTTCTTAATCATCTAGATGTTTCTAGAGGCAGCTTTACTGTTTGGCATATGATGACTTTAATTGGCATCAGTGTTGTTCCAACGTTCTTGATTCTTCCTCTAAGTCATATTTTATGCTGCAACGTTAAGCTTTCAGTTCCCGATAACACTCCTTAAACAAACATAAACACATTATTTTCTGGCTAGCATCAAAATAACTAATTCCAACTCCACTGTAAATGTCTTACAGATAAGGATTTCCAGTGAAAACTGATTTCTGAACATGTCGCTAGCACACTTTTTCAGGCTCATCACAGTTCCAAATTTCCCATCTACATACATTCTGAAAATTCAGTATACCGACTGCATAACAACAACACTGGACTGCAGAGTAAATAAACATGTTCCGTAGTGCAACAAGCCATTTCTAACCTTTGCAAATCGGGGAAGACTTGGTCACATTCCTTACACTCCTGGATTGCATGTATGTCTCGGAGATCGTTTTCACTTTCGAGTTTTTGTTGGAAGTCTTCTTCCACCATTGAAAATGCTGAGTGAGGGGTACTGCAGGGGAACTTCTGGTGATCTGCTAGTTCAGCCTTGGACTCAAAGAGCTGGTCACAGTCCTCGCAGCGATACTGCCGTTCTTCTGTGAAAATAATTCAGATGTTACCAGGCCTGGGCCGCTCAGGAAGTGTCACCACAAACCAGCAGTTCTTACCGAATTATGGAAGACATACTAGAAATGATTTCATTGTCATTTCCACCACTGCAATTTTTAACCTGACTTAAAAATAATACCTGTAGAGAAGCCAGGACACAGCCCAGCAGGATAATGTGGTTCCTGTGGCTACAGTATAGCTTCCTTACCAGATAAAAACGTTACGGCTTAAACCCTCCCAGGAGTTAATATTGATTAAAAGTAATAATGACTGCTGACTGAGCATCATCTATTTCCTCGACCCTGTTCATGGGTTACTGATATTTCTCAAAACCCGATCAGGAGAAACTGTAAGTCGGATTTTTATCCCATTCTCAGATGAGGCTACTAAAGCTCAGAGAAGTTCAGTAACCAGTCAGGGATTATAGACCCAAGGGGTCGTGCCAGGATTTGAACCCATCTCTGTCTCACACCCTTCTCACTGTACCGTGTTACCTGGAGGGCACGTGGGATACTGAGTCCCCGTCTGCGTCATGCTGACACCTGGTTAATAGCAGCAAACTTGGATGTTTCATTACATTCCCCATTACCATGTAATGGGACACAGGATGTTTTTAGTACCCTTCGAGCCTAATTTATGTTACCCTAGGGTCAGTGCTAATTGGCAGGGCCCTGTTAAACAGCAAATATATGCATTGGCACTCTGAATCAGTAGGATAAATAAGTGGTCATAGTGGGAACTAGCGATAACAAGGTTATCAAGTGTCAGGTAGGGATGGTATTGTTCCTATCCTTTCCATCTGAATCACTTTTAGCCTGCTCGTGAGGCCATACTACGCACAGCCCACACAGACACAATCGCAGAAGGCTTGGAAACAGTTCACAATGCTGAAAAGACACCCAGGGCAACGTGACACATGATCCCTGTTTTATAGCCCTACAGCCAGGGCCTATAGCCAGTTGTGCACCGACTGACTGTTTTTGTGGGAATCGTTTAGTCACCAACAAATGCTAGGCATTTTGCTAGGCAATGACTATATAAGAAACTCAAGGGCATAGACATGTGAACAGACAGCGTGTGATATATTTTATGACCGATGCATGCATAGGGCCCAAGGGAGCCCAGAGGAACGTGTCTAATCCATCTAATCTGAGGGAGAGAGGTTCAGAAAAGGCTTTGGAATGAGCGAGCATCCACCAGGTGAAGTGGGATGACGGAGGACGTCTCAGGCAATGGAAACAGCGTGGACAGATGGTAAAGGAAAGGAAGAGCATGGCAGCTTGTGGAAAGGCAAAGCTGCAGTAAAACAGGGCAGGTCGATAGGGTGCGTGTAGGGAAGCAACGGGAAGTGAAGGAAGAGAGGATAGCAGGTCACTAGGGGCTTTTGGGGCCCGTGCTAAGAAGGGAGCAGAAAGCCACTGAAAGTCGGAAAGCCTAGCTAGAGTGTGAGAAGTTAAGTAGAAGTCAAATGGGACACCACTGCTATAAGCCACACACAATTCTGGTTTCATTTAAACTAAACCGGTAACAGGGAGCCCAGGACGGTAAAGAAATCACTATGTAGATTTAGTATGTGTGTCAACTTTGGACGGTAGAGGGTTACGGATTTATTCTAAAATAAATCACCTCAGCTGTAAAGTCAGGTTTCTTGATGACATTTTCCAGGTAATGGAAACATTTCCTATAATCTGTCACACTATTCACATATTTAAGATCACATTTAGGGTGTGTGCCTGGGTGGCTCAGTTGGTTAAGCATCCAGTTCTTGATTTTGGCTCAGGTCATGACTTCAGGGTCATGAGACTGAGCCCTGTGCTGGGCGTAGAGCCTGCTTGGGATTCTCTCTTTCCCTCTGTGCCCCCTCTCCCCCACCCCTGCTTGCTCTCACTCTCACCCTCTCTCTCTCTAAGAAAAAAAAAAAAAGAAAAAGAAAAAAAGATCTACATTTAGGATCTCACCAGCAGTCTGAACACATACAGAACCTCCAGGCTGCAGAATGGATGGAAAAGGCCTAGGCTTTAGAGACAGCAAAACCTTGGTTTGAAAGCTGATTCTACTACTTTCCAGTCATGTGGTCTTGACCAATTTACCTAGCTTTATGTAGCCTCAGTTTTTCTGTGTGTGTAACAGAAATGATTCCTCTCCTACAGGCTTGATCTATGTGTAAGACCAAATGAGATAATAAATGGAGAGCATACATCTGGTATATAGTAGGTGTGTGATGCATGTGTTTTATTTTCTCTCTCCTAAGCAATGTGAAATCCTAGGAGTATAAAACACAAATCACCATTAAACACCATAAACTTTACATATAACATATATGGTGTATATATACGGATATGGATATGACACAATGAAAACAAAAAGCAACTGATGGGTTCAAGAATGTTATAAAGGCAGGTCATTTATGAATGGTAGCCCTAAAAGAAGAATAGTCACTTCTATTTAGTTTTTTAGAATATTTATATTGCTAAACATTTATATTTAGAATTTAGAATATTTTGAATATTTATATAACTAGAACACTTAGAATATTTATAGATCTAGAACATTCATATTTCTAAAAATAATTGTTTGAAAACCTTTTAAGACCTAACATTCACTAATGAAAGTTGCCTTGCTCTAGAGAAAGCCCAGATTACATTTCTTATCATATAAGCACTCTCAGCTCTCACACACCCCTGTTGGATCAGACTCCCTATTCAGGCTGAAACTCTACCAGGCTGGTTGAGAACACTGGGTTTCTAAGAAGACAAGAATTTCCAAAAGGTTCCCCAAAATACAATGCTATAATCTACAAAAGGCAGAATGCAGCCCAGCCAAAGGAAAAAAAATGTTCAAGTAAAGAGCCAACCAAGACTGGTGGCTTCCTTCGGAGGAGCTAAAGAAGGAGAGACTGAGGTTTTCCCGTCGGGAATGCCAGAGGGATGGGAAGTGGCTCGATCCCCACCTGTCAGCTAAGTTGGTGTGAGTAACCCTTCCCAGTAGTCCTTCCAGCTAAAAAACACTCTAAAGACACCACTAGATTATGCTGAACCAAATCATGTTATATTAGGAGAGAGAAATAAGAAAGAGAAAGAAAAAAGTACTCAATTTTTATCCCAATGATACAAATCAATATGGGTAGAATTTTCTCCTTATCTGTCCTGTACGCATAGAACTAGTAATTGTAATTGTTTAGATCCCCCCCTTCATTTGATTTAGAATAGGTCTCTGGCAAATAAAAATTTCTCTGGCTGTAAAATCTCCTCTTGTGTACTTTTCTCCCAATCCCCATCCCTCCAACCCTCTCCCATATGGTCATGCTGGCTAGGATTTTACTCACATTGACACAGTTTTCCCAGTAACAGAACATTAGATGGGAAGAAACAGCCACTAGATTTATTAAAGTCCAAACTGAGTTCCCTGAAATGACTTTTGTACAGTGAAAGGATTCTCCCCATAGTCTAAGGCATTGACAAAAAACTTAACCATGTGATATCTCAGTCGAAATAGTCAAAATTCCTTTCACCTCCACTTTAGGGAAGACCTCTGCTGACTTGAGCTTCACAGTTAACATCAGCCAGATGTCAAGCCAAGGAAAGAGCCAGTCGCAAGAGAAAGAGTTTGTTAAAACTGATGTTAAAGAGCCAGGAAAACCGATACATGCCACGTGCAATGGACTCATGGGGATGCTCCATCACAGTGACCGAATGAATGAGGGTGGTGAGGACGGTGGCGTGAGCAGTACTAACCGTGGATATCCGGCGCCATAGTTTCATGGGGATAGTCTTCACTCTTCATGAACAGCAGGAGCTCCTCTCCTGGTGCAATGTCTGCGACTACTCTATAAAATATCTTCAATAAGACCAGAAATGGATGAGATGGGGAGAGAGAAAGAAGTGAATGTTAAGAAAGGGCAAGATATCCACTAATATCTGTACATTTTCTCAGACCCGAACATATTTCTTTTTATTTTTATCAAAAGAAGTGTGACTTCCTGTTTTGTGTCCTGAAAATTAGCCTTCTGATGATGGATGGAAAGCTGTGACTCTCATGCCAATTCACAAAGTTCTCCCAAATCCTACTTCACCAATCAAATTGTCTTCACACAAGGCTTTCTGTGTCACATACACCTTGTGTAATATTTAGTGAAGAACTTTCCCTTCTCTGAATTCCTCACTCTAGTGAACCGCCCCCCCCCACCCAGGTATTCACAGAGCGGAATGTGTCTGGCATTATCCAGCAGTAGCCTTGCAAAGGGCGGCAAGGGCACAACGACCTCTCTTAACATGTCCTCTAAGGCAGCCACCTTCTCAACAAGGTGTTTTAAGGCAGCAGATTGGAAGGACATGACATAAGGAGCTGATCTGTAGCGAACATAGTCAAAGGAGAACCTTTTGTTTTTAAAACGCTTAATCTCCCTCTCACCAATCATCAGTACTCCCAGATCCAGGACTTGCCCTCATGCCCCAGCTCCTGACTCCCATTCTCTGAAAGCAGGCAATATGCCTTTAATTGATTCATTCACCAGGGTGGTAGGGGTTGGTGCTTATTCCCCTGCTTTCTAGCAAAATTCTGAGGAGAGAAAAAATTTAATAAATCCGTTAATGACTGACTAGAAAGCTGTGGGGCAAATGTGGACCTGTAATTTCTGAGAGCTGCCTACCTTTCCCCTCACCAGCTCTGTGACCTTAGGCAAGTCATTGTCCAATCTACTTGTCCAGGTTTCAGGGTTCTTTTAGTCTATAAAAGCATCTTAATTCACAATATATACAAATAGCTAATTATTATGTTGCACACCTGAAAGTAATATAATGTTATATGTCAATCATTTCTCAATAAAAAAGCATTTAATCATGAAAATACTTAAGGTACCTATTCATTTTACCACAAAAAATGTTCTTAGTTTTTAATCTTATTCTAAGATTATTTATTAAACAACAATTCCATGACAAGATAGAGGCTGTGGAAGAAAGAATGAGATTATACAATTAATTGGTGAAAATGAGACCAGTAACATTCACACACACACACACACACACACACACACACACACACAACCACCAGAGCAACAAAGACAACAACAAAACTAGGGATACAATTCTGCTCAGTCTCAAACCAGTGGGGAGAAAACTCACATAACACAAGTTACTAAGAACTATGAGAATATATCTTTAGAGGGCATTGCTTTAACTGTTGGTTTCTTGCAGGATATTTGACATTTCAAATTCAGAAAAACTGAGTAAATTAATACCTTATAAGACCAACAGAAATGTGCATAACTTTCCTGGTATTTGTCTATTTGTTTATCTTTTGAAAAACAGAAGACATCAAATATAAGTATGTGCCTCTTTATTCCAGTAGGTGGCTCTGAAGTCCAGTTGTTTATTTTTCTATAAAAACATCACAGCACCAAATTGTGCTAAATCCAAAAAATCATTCAATGAGGAGTGTTTTCTGCCTAGTTTCTTTCCTGTCAAATTAAAATCATTTTTTCATTCAACAGTAATTTAACCATGTGAAGTTGGTTTATAGAAAATAATGCTAAATGCAAAATGTTGCTAGAATATGTTATCATATAACCTAAGATTCTTTATATCTACCTATAGATAGGCTCAGACTATCTTAAGAAAATTACCCCTTGTTATGTGCTATTTCTACAAAAACCAGTGAGTGTGCAGTTTGTATCTTATTAACCCATACCTGCACATTTTCCTGTTTTGGGAAGTATACTGAGAGGAACAGTTCTGTTCAAAAAGTTATCAGGTTGAGAAAAATTAATGTGCTTTCGCTTTCTTCCCCCTAAACCTTCCAGTTAAATGCTTATAAGCACCCTATTTCATTCTGGAGTTCTATTTCACCTTAGAAAACAATGGACTTCTCTCAACAGTTTGAATCACCTCTTTTTTTGGCATCTCTCAAAGGTTTAACTTATTAGCTTCCTTTCCAACAACATGTTGACATTTGAATTGTGACATATTAGAACTTTTCGGTGGCTTCTCGGAAATAGTGAGGTTAAAGAGACAATACCCTGCAAAATCGTCACACAGGGCAATTGTCTCTGTTGGGGAACTCTGCTTAGACACACACGCCAGGTCATTTTAAGAAAGTATTGTGATATCATGATTTCTTTGTGGTCCACTCCGAATCACGTCTCTTAATTCCATTTCAGATTGACTCAATCCAGTGTGAACAGTCCAAGAAACAAAAGAAAATGATAGGTACATTGTAAGTATAGAATATAGAGACAATTCTCTTTGCAGGGACATCAATCGCTACTGTAATTCCCTGTAAGTGTCCAGACTGTCATCTGAGGAATATTGAGTGCATAAAAAATAAAAGACACGGAAGAGTGTTGATGTTGGCTTTATTTACTGGAGGTAAAAGGTGACATTCCAGGCCATGAAAGGCAAGGTAAAGTAGAGTGGGTTTTAACTTCAGGGTGTTCTTTTCGATTTTAAGTGAATTTTTACGGTGCTCATGAAACCGAGGTTTGAAAAGAACTGGCAAGCGCCAGACGTAATGAGGGCAGATTCTGGGCACGCTTCCTCATATAGCAATAAGAATGTGCCTCGAAGTCCCATCTACCACACCCTTACAAATCTAGTGGGTTTTTTCGAGGTGTTGCTACTACTTGTGATCCTCTTTATATCTCATCTCTCAGGATCTTAGAGAGATTCGATAACATTATATTTTTCCACCTATAATTACAATGACCCAAAAATATAATTTGAATACTCGAATCCAGAGATGTCTACGTATAAAGTTAATTTATGTTCTAGCAATAATAATTCACCAGCAGGCCTTGGAGAAGTGAGAGGAGGAGTTTAAACAAAAACATAATGACAATTCATTGCCTCAAAACAACTATGTGGAGGAATGATGGAATGTAATCTTGGCGGAATCAAGCCTTTCAGAAAATCAGATATCACACATTTCTGCTTTTATATTATAAAATATGTCTTTCAGCAAATAAAAATGCAATTAATAACAGAAGTGATTTATGTAGCTTTTTCCCACAGGTTTGTGTATTAAGTATTCTTGGCCATGCTCATAAAAAATATAACCATAATGTCTTTAAACTCAGTGTATTCTCAAAATCTCAGCTCTATTGCAGTCCTACAAATTATATGTCATCTGAGTTATGTACCAGAAGCAGAAATCCTACCAATATAACCTCTCTGGTTTTTTAGCTGGAGAAAATGGAAGGGAATCATTACTCTGTTAAATTCCATTAAAAAAAAGGTCTCTTCTCCCATCAGGGGGTTTTATGGAAAAAGTTATCTGGATCCAAAATAAAACTGTCCTGAATCTGGGATTTTGTGATGAATTCAACTCAAGTATATAAAGAGGGACTCCAAAGTCTCAAAGATTTAGAAAAAATTCAGATTGATACAAAAAGGGTTGTTGATTTATTATTTTGCTGTGTCTCTCTCAGAATGTTTTATAAGAGGAAAAAAACTCAATTCCTCACAATAGAAGTTGAAAGATAAGAGGAACAGGGCCTTAGAGTATAAGAAAATAGGAATATATAAAAATTCCGTTCTTTTAAAAGTCATGATAAGCATTTTTAAAATGTGTTAACTCCTCTAGAGTTTTCTCTTTGGTAGCAAATAACAAATTCCAGAAATACAACATGTTATGACCATGACCTAATTGTGCGTACATTTGACACTTTTGAAAGTTAAGGTGGTTTTTTTTCATTTTATCATGTAAAAAATTTTAATTTCCCAATATCTTTGTGGACTCTTTTTATTTTTCCAGAAAGCTATTTTTCTATCTTTGTAAGCATGGATATTATATCTAGATCTCTGGATGCCTCAATTTATAAGAATAAATATTTACAGTAGATGTTTTCATTAATAGATCATTTTGTACTTTTTTAATTTTCTAAATTTGCTAAAATAGCATAGTAGTGAAATTTCTAAATATGTTTTTTTTAATTCTAAATCATTCAATTTTGAAAATAAAGCTAGAAATTCCCCAAATTGTTCACTTTTACTAGTGGTAAAATTCACAATTTAAGGCATAAATTTAATATTATATTCATCTATACAGAAATTACTCTAAACATAATTATTATACTTAATGTATTTTAAGCAAACCTTGAAACCAGTTCCAAATGTCAAACAAATACCCCTTCAGTTAATATTCACAAGGCTAAGCTAAGGATAAAAAAAGGCAGTTGTGACTGGATTTGACTTAACAAATTTTAGACTTCCAAAAGGTATATTTTCATACAATGTTATATATAAGCATGTATGTGCTTAGATATGTTATATATTTTTATATGTGACCTATAAATGTGGCAAAGTATACACCTTGGGAAAATTCCAAATTTGCATAAAATATTAGCAATCTCATATTTTATCTATTAATGTAAATGAATGTGTAATGGTATATGCTTAATTCTAATTATATATCATATAAGGATATGTAATAATATATTATGTATAGCACATTGTATATATGTTATATATAGTAATGTAGTTGGAATTGGAATTAATCATATTTTATTAAATATTCATGTTCTTTTGTTATTTAAGTCCAAGAGCACAAGCACTAAAATGAGTATGGACGCTTACAAGCATTCCGATAGGAAAGTTAATAGGCTATAAAAGACTTCAGACAAATTGTTTTATACTGTCAAGGCCTGTGTTCAACCTGGTCCTCCATCAAATAGACAATGCTACTATTTGTATTTATAAATGGTAATAATGTGGGTTCTTGTTTATTATCCTATAAAATAGAAAAATCTAGAATCTGTCAGACCAGACTTACAGTCTAGTTTGCTATGCTTGGATCAATTTAAAGTATTGTGCTTGTACTATTGAGACAGAAGAGAAATTCAGTGC